TAGTTAAAATGAATTTTTTTTTTATTTATTTGAGAAAATGAGTTTTCAAATAGTGATTTTTCAGAAAATGTGTGATTAAAAAATAAGAAAAAATTTTGAATTTACATGCAAAATATTTTATTATGAGAATGTATGATTAAAAATGAGTTTGAGAGATTGTTATGTTTTCACTCAACAAATATGTGTAACACACCACATATTTATAGTGTAACAATCATTAACATATTAGGAGAATTAATATATGAAGAGTTTAATATAAGATGAAGTCATAATATAATGGGAGGCTGAATCGGAATCCAAAATTGTCAAAAAATTGAAAACTGGATTTCCCCAGATAACACTGCCGCTTGAGCTAGAAAGCGGCACCTGGCGAGCAGCCAACACTTGAGCGAAAATCATCGTAGCTAGTGAGCGGTAGAAGCGGCACTCAGGCGTTGCAGGCCTAGCACTCAGGATGGTGCCTAGGCACCTGGATCCCTGTGCTTAAGCGCCCGATCTCTATCCCAACAAATCTTTGGTCCAATTTTTATCTTCTTGGACTCCTTGTAGTCTACTTCTTCACTACTTCTTGGACTCCTTGTAGTCTTCTACTTCTTCGTTACTTCTCCAAAAGTCTTCTACTTTTTCAAGATTTCTCCAAAACAAACAACAAACTCCAAATATTCCTACAAAATTATTTCTAATAAAATAGTTAATAAGAATTCGGGTCATACTGAAACTCTAATAGTGTCTTGTTAGTTACAAATATGAACTATCGCTATCCAATTTAAGGATATATTAGGAAAAAACTCAAGTGAAATTTATAGTTCAACTATATTGATTAACAGACTGTTTGTTTGCCATTTTCCAATTCATTTGTAGGAAAATTTGGACCGTTAGTGGGCCCACTTATGAGATATAAGGTCAAATATTGCGACTGAAATTGACAAGTAATGGCTCTATTTCTCTCCTTTTTTTTTTTTTAGCCCAAATAAAACGGGGACTAAGTTTTTCTAAACAGTATAAAAATAAAAGAATAATGTTATCTAACACAATTGGTGCTACAACACTAGACTAGTGATAAGTTCAATGAGAAGTGCAATTAAGTGAGTAATTTAATCGTATCTCTCATTTAATATCATAGTAGTGCCACCTAAATTGTTGTTTTGACACCAGTTGCATAAAAAATATTACTTAAAATAAAAGTAAGTTTATCTTTATGGGATATGGAATATATACCAGTGTTCTAAAAAACTAGTTTAAGCACCGCCTAGACTCGATGCTTTTGTTTTCCAATTTTTAAACGGTTGGATTTTTTCCCTCCATTCTCTCGTCTTCCCTAGACGTTCTTTATTAATTTTTTATTTTTTTTTCTTTTTTAAAACATTCTTTTATTTCACTTTAGTTTGTTAATTTTTCTATTTTTTAAAAAATATTTTATTTGACTTTAATTTCTAGTTTTTAAAAGACGTTATATGTACAAAAGTAAAAAAAATTATTTTATCCAATAAAGAGTTAAATAAGATTTAAATTACAGTGTTATCTATATTATATAATTATGATTTTTAAACTTATTATTTTGTTTAAAACCTCAAAAGCATATATAAAGTTTCTATAAATTTATTAAGTATGTTTAGTTGAAAATTGAAAGTATGAAAAATAGTATATTTTTTGCATTTCAAAAACTTGAAATTTTAATAATTGACTAATTATAGGAATTATGAAATAAATATATTATTTTACAGTTTTAAACGTTTGGTATATTTTATTTTAATTATTAAATAATTTTTAGAATGATTAAAATTTTAAATGATATTAAAAATAAGAAAAAAAACATTTTTACGTCTGGACTCTCTTAAGTTCGTAAAGCTTGAAATTTTGTCTCCACACTTTACGTTTTTTAAAATAATAATATCTACTATCAAATCAAAATCTGAAAGCATTCGAGGAGTTAGAATAACAATGAGCCTTTAATACAATCTTAGTCGAATAAATATACATCCACCAACCTAACATTTAGAGAACATTAATGATTATTAAATTCTACCGTGTTAGCCAATGGATAAAAGTGGGCTGACAAGACATATATATTGGATTTGTTTAGTGAACTCTGTTATTTAAAAATAAAAAATTTGTTTATTCTTAAAACTTATTTTTAATCATGCATTTTTCAAATAAAATAATTTTATACGTAAATTTTATTTTTTTTTCTTATTTCCTAACCACATTCTTAAAAAAATCACTATCACAAAATTTATTCTTTTCCAAAATTAAGCTCAAATAAACTCTGTAAGTAAACTATAGAGTACTTAATAGTATAAAAAATAATAGTCCATCATGTCTCATAAAGATGTTTTTGTTTTTGTTTTCACATAAATTAAGAAATTGTAATTAATATAGCCGAAAATGCTAACACAAGTAGTGTTAGAGTGCCAGTTTAGGTGGCTACATTTTATAGGATGAATTAAATGTGTCGTGTGACTTTTTCATTTAAATGAATATATTATTTAATGTCATGTAATTATCATCTAGACTGGTGCTTAGCACTAGTGTTGATAGATATCATTACTCCTATTTAAATAACATGGCACATTAAGCTCATTTAAAGTATGTTATATTTGTTGATAACATGACAGATTAAGCTCATGTTTGATCTCCATTTAAAAGAGTTTTTCGAGAAAAGTAAGTTTTGAAATAATAATTTTTTGAAAAATATGTGATTAAAAAGTATGGAAAAATATTGAGTCTACATGCAAAATTGTGCTTTCAAGGCCATCGAATTTGCCGTGGTCGCATCTGTGAAATATGTCTTCATCTAAATTTTTTATTGGAAATGACTCAACATAGTAAAATAAATTTATAATATATCTCTATATTAATCATATTCACTTTTAGATTATGCCATTTTATCATAAGAATTTTGACAGATACAATGACAGAAGTATATGTGACATCAGATTATTGGATGAAAAATCTGATTGTATTTTAAACAGTTTAATGATAGAATATCACGTGAGATTATGTCAATCTTTCTGTCAACTTATCCAGCACTATTGCATGACTGTTCACTTTTATTAAATCTAATGCATCAATATGTCCTTTCAACTGGGAATAGCTATTCAAGGATCGTGCGATTTAAATTGAGTAAATTATAGTCTCTATTTGACAATCATTATTTCAAAATTCTTTATTCTATACATTCATTTGCAATCACACATTTACAGAATAAAATATTCTGCACGTAAATTCACAACTTTTTCCTACTTTTTAACCACACATTTTCTAAAAACTCACTATTCACTTGATTTTTGTTAAATAATGGTCATCAAATAGGGCCGAATAATCCATTTAGAATTGATAACTTCAATGGCTCGGATTATTAGATCAACCATAATTTTAAAAAAGAAATGAATAATTCTGAAACAAAATCATATGGGATTAAGATTCATTGAATCATGATGATAAATAGAATTACTCTTGTCAAAAATATCACAAACACACCCGAAAAAAATTAACGAAGACCAACTTAATTGTTTGAACATAATTGGCAATTTTTGTACTGCCATGAAAAAAATATTTTAGACAATTTTCANGCTCGGCTCGTTGCCACCGCTAATGGCACATTAAGCTCATTTAATGTATTTTATATTTGTTGATAACATGACACATTAAGCTCATGTTTGATGTCCATTTAAAAGAGTTTTTCGAGGAAAGTAAATTTTGAAATAATAATTTTTTGAAGAATATGTGGTTAAAAAGTATGGAAAAATATTGAGTCTACATGCAAAATTGTGCTTTCAAGGCCATCGAATTTGCCGTGGTTGCATATGTGAAATATGTCTTCATCTAAATTTTTTATTGGAAATGACTCAACATAGTAAAATAAATTTATAATATATCTCTATATTAATCATATTCACTTTTAGATTATGCCATTTTATCATGAGAATTTTGACAGATACAATGACAGAAGTATATGTGACATCAGATTATTGGATGAAAAATTTGATTGTATTTTAAACAGTTTAATGATAGAATATCACGTGAGATTATGTCAATCTTTCTGTCAACTTATCCAGCACTATTGCATGACTGTTCACTTTTATTCAATCTAATGCATCAATATGTCCTTTCAAATGGGAATAGCTATTCAAGGATTGTGCGATTTAAATTGAGTAAATTATAGTCTCTATTTGACAATCATTATTTCAAAATTCTTTATTCTATATATTCATTTGCAATCACACATTTACAGAATAAAATCTTCTGCACGTAAATTTACAACTTTTTTCTATTTTTTAACCACACATTCTCCAAAAACTCGGTATTCAAAACTTGATTTTTGTTAAATAATGGTCATCAAATAGGGCCGAATAATCCATTTAGAATTGATAACTTCAATGGCTCGGATTATTACATCAACCATAATTTTAAAAAAGAAATGAATAATTCTGAAACAAAATCATATGGGATCAAGATTCATTGAATCATGATGATAAATAGAATTACTCTTCTCAAAAATATCACAAACACACCCGAAAAAAAATTAACGAAGACCAACTTAATTGTTTGAACATAATTGGCAATTTTTGTACTGCCACTAAAAAAATATTTTAGACAATTTTCATCGAAATCGAATTGATGAAATTGAGTTAGGATTTGTTCCTTTCCCACACGGAAGCCCACGTGGGAAATTATTGTTCCCTCAGAAGGACATATTCGTAATCTCAACACCTTCACCCCTTACCCCCTCCCCACCCTGACACACAAATTTACGAGCTCTCTCCGTTTAAAATCTCAAATTATTTGATGAAAGGAGGCTAATATTGTTCAATGTCTTCTTCTCTACTCCATAATTTTCCATCTCTTTGAAACTCTTTCTTCACCACATTTTTCTGAGTTTCTTTTCAAACATTTCAATTTTCATAACGTGTCTCAAGTCGAAATTTAAAGTTTTAGAAGTTTTCATGCAGATAATAGAGGGAAATGGCGAATGGATGGATGAAGACACTACAATGTAAGTCAAGAGCTGCAGATGACGTCCTCCACCAACAGTATTATGACCACCGCTCAAACCATAAAAACCACCAAAACCACTACCTTTTGTTATCGAACTCCGCCAATTGCAGAAACAGCGTTCAAAACCTTAGAGACATAGTTGATGTCGCTAAACCCAGAAAACCAAAGCCACCAAAACCACCTCAAACGCCTCCGTCGAATGAACCCTTTTCAAGAAAATCCGACTTCGGTACAAAACAGTCCATCAACAAAACACACCACAGTATCATCTCTGGATCCGGCTGGTTGTTACGAGCCACGGATTCATGCTTTCCGGCACTCACTGAGCTACCGGAGGGCCATCCTTCGCGTAATGTGGTGGAGATAATCTTTCGTTCAAGCTGGGGACCCAAGAATTTCCCTGGTCAGATTGAAATGGTGTTCAAGGTCCAGAATTTAGCCCGGGCAATGACGCGGTTTGAGGAATACAGGGAGTTAGTGAAGTCAAGGGCGAGGTCCCGTAGTGCTGCCACCGTGAACGGTGGATCTGAGGATCAAGCACGGTGCATTGCCGATGGGAATGAGGTCATGAGGTTCCACTGCCTGGCGGCCACCACAAGAGGAGCTTATGACGGCGGCGGTTGTGCATTTTACGGCGACAAAAAGAGTTCAATATGTACATTTTCAGAGACTGGTGGAGCTCATGAAAGTGCAGGTGGTGGTAGAGGGCGGAAGTCCATGTTGGTTTGCCGGGTTATAGCGGGTCAGGTATGCAAGCAATTGAAGTTTGACTCGTTGCTTGAAGGCCGAGTTGAGTATGACTCGGTGAGCGGAGATAATGGCAAGTTCTCAGTATTTGATTCACGTGCATTGTTGCCATGTTTCCTTGTAATCTACAAATTGTAATTCCTTATTGGAAAGAAGTAAAAATTTTCTCTCATTTCTTTTTCTTTTTTTAAACTTCGTTTAATCTTTCTGAGCGAGAAGAAAAAAATAAAAAATGATTCCCTCTCTTAACATTAAAATAATATACTCGAGATTTTCAATGGTAATTGTAAGGATGTCAATGAACAGACTCACGAAACAAAATTTCGAATGGGCACAAGTAAAAATGGTTCGGAATTTTTTTTTTATCCAAGTCGAGCTGAGTTTTTGTTTGGTCAAAAAATCTAAGGCTCGACCAAAGCTTGCTCGCGATTTTTTTTTCTAAATTCGTGACAAATCTAATTTTT